GGGGGGGGGGGCGGAGGATACGCCCCACTGCGCCTGCGCCGCCCGCGGGGCCGCTCCTCCGGGCTGGGGGCGGGGAGGGGGAGGGCCGAGGCTACGGACTCCCGGGAAGCAGAGGAGCTCGTGGAGATTCCCGGGGCAGCCCCGGGCCTGAGCGCGGGAGGAGGAGGAGGAGGAGCGGGATGGGTGCGGACTGGCGCTGCCTTGGGTGAGCATGCGGTCTCCGCTCCGCAGGCCGAGGAGGCGGCTGGGAATGAGTCAGCCAGGCCGGGAAGGCCCCGGTGCACCCGGGCTGATAGTGTAGGCGGCCGCTGCCTCCTCGGAGACTTTCCTCCCCCGATCCTGCCGCACCCTTTCTCCTTTCGCTTCCACGCGCCTGCAGCTCCCTGCCACAATCGCTTGGTCCAAGGGTACGCGCCACCCTACGCCGGACCCTTGAGACCCGAGCGCTTGACTTTGGGCAGCTACCACCTCTGGGAAGGAGAGGGGGTGGAAGGAGAAGAGGCTCCTGAGGTCCCAAAGAGCCACGTTCATTCATTCAAGAATTTACTGACCACCTGCGAGGCATCAGACGCCCAAGGATAGGAGACGAAAGCAACCTCCTTTCTGTGTCCTGCTGAAGCTTGTAGTCTCGTAAAAGCCACATTACAGGCTTTAAATCTTCACCGCGCTGAGCGTGTGATTGCCTGTCACATGTACACACACAGGAAAGTGAGTGGAGATGTTATTTTGGGATGACCAGGAAGGACCTCCGAGAGTGACATTTGAGCAGCAATTTGAAGGTTGAGAATGGCCCCGTCCTGGAACTATCTAGTTACAAGAAAGGAACTAGCAACGACAAAGTTTTAGAAGGGAATGTGTTTGGCACTTTTAAAGAATTGTCTACGGAAAACAGTAAAAGGAGAGGGACATTTAGTAAGAGGACAAGGAAGTAGCTGGGGCCATTCCGTATAGGACCTTTTTTACTCCTAGTCCTGGGTTTGGCGACCGAAATGCAGCATTCATAATGCCTATGTCACCTTACATACACCGTGCTGTTATTCAGATCTTACATCTAGTCGTCTATTTTCTTTTTCCTTTATTTTTGAATCAAGGTCTCAGTATGTGGGCAGCACTTGCTGGCCTCGAACTCACAGAAATCCTCCTGCCTCTGCCTGGGGAATGCTGGGCTTTAAGTACACGTCACCACAGCAAAAAGATAAGGTGGACAAAGAAAGACAGATGACTGTTGATAAACTTATAGGGTTCAAATCCTCTATCAACCCACACAGTAAAACTAAGAAATCTGTCTGTCCTCAGAGTGAAAGCCGCTTTCAGGAAAGCAGGACTGACCCGGTCCAGTCTTGATGTTGAGCCCTTTTTACTCTCTGTACCAGCGATCTTTCCAGCTTTTGGTATGATTCCTAGTCGTGCCGTAGCTAGAGATGTGCTCCGCCAGATAATCTTTTCACAGAGTTCCCCCCATTCTGATAAAGATAAGGGAGAGTTCCGAGGAATTGGACAAAATCTTTTAGGACATTCCAAACCCCGTGGAGAAACAAATCAGTGGTAGATGATAAGACATGTAGATTTAGGCCTTTTTGGATGGCCAGACTAAAAGTAAAAATTTGTAACCAGCTGTCAGCTGTGGCACTGGGTGTAGAGCCAGGGGGCAAGATTCTGTCTTTCCAGTGCCCTGGAGCGTGGTAGCAGAGCTGCCTTCCACACCCAAACAGTAACAAGACTGAGTCCAGAACATTAGACCAGCCCCTGAGTTCAATCTTTTTATAGCCAAGAGGGAGGCTGGGACAAGAAGGTTCTGAGTTCAAGGTCAGCTTGATCTGCACAGCAAAACTTGGTTTCAAACAAACAAAGCAAACCTATGTTGAAAAATCTATGACCAAGGTTTCCCAGCACCCACATGGTAGCGCACAACCATCCGTAACTTGGGATCCTCTGGAACTGAATCCAAGGCTTCTGACCTCCTCGGATATCAGGCATACACGTGGTGCACATACATCCAGACAAAACACTCAGACACATAATAAATCCAAGGAAGAAGTTTTGCAATAGTGACCAGGTGGCCCAGATGTCAATCAAGGCTTTTACCAAGACAGTCATTTCAATTTCCCAAACTTCCTGTTTATCCATATAGTGAAGAATATACCTTTCTCATCAGAATATGAGGATTGAGTATAATAGGATCATCATACTTTTAGAGACATTTTGTAGACTGGAGGGAAAGTATTTCAAAGTCGTTAAGCACAGCTATTAAATGCCTGTTGTGGCCAGGGAAGGACCAATTTACGTACACCATCAAGCCCAGAGATATGCAAAGCGCTACATTTTATCGGTAATCTAACTCTTTGATTGCAATTGCACCTCAAGGAACTGCATAGCAGACCATGCTAAAAGCAGAGTTATAAATGGAGACAGATTCAGGGATCTGTAGTGTTGCTGTATTTTTATTAATTTTTAAACAATATAAAGTAATGAATCTCATTATAACTTTTTGTTTTGTTTCGTTTCGTTTTTCAAGAAGACAGGGTTTCTCTGTAGCTTTGGAGCCTGTCCTGGAACTAGCTCTTGGAGACCAGGCTGGCCTCGAACTCACAAAGATCCACCTGCCTCTGCCTCCCGAAAGGTGTGCTCCACCACCGCCTGGTTCATTATAACATTGTAATACATAGGAGTTGCCGCTTTCTTCTGACATTTTCTCCTCCCACTCCCCTCTCTCAACCCCTCATCCCAGTCCTTTCCCTCCCCTTAAATAGTGCCTGCTTCTGTTTCCACGTCATATTTATCCGATTACCCCTTCCCCTTTCTTCCCATTCAAGAGCTCTTCCTCCCTTCTCGTGCCCATTCTCCTTTCAACACACACACACACACACACACGCACGTCAGAGGAGAGGACATAGAGGATATTTGTCGTTCATAGTCTCGCTTACTTCATGTAACAGCGTACTTTTCAGTTCTGCCCATTTTCCTGCAAATGTCACAGTTTCATCTGTGTGTGTGTACTGTGTTCCCATTGTCCACCTACCTGTGGATGGGCATCTGGTCTGGTTCCACTTCCCAGCTATTATAAATAACAGTGCAGCAAAAACCGCAGATGCGCAAGTCTTTGGAGGTATGTGCCTGGGAGTGGTTCAGCTGGGTTATATGGTAGTTTTATTTTTACTTTTTTAAGGGACTATCAGTCACACTGATTTCCATGGTGGCTGCATGAGCTTGCATTCCTGCTAGCAGTGTACAGGAGTTTTCCCTACCCCACACCTCACCAGTGTCTGTTCTTGTTTGTTTTCCTGATGACAGCTTTTCTGACCGAGGTGAGATGGGGTCTCCAAGCAATTTTAATTTGCATTTCCCTCATGGTTAAGGATGTTCAACAGTTTTTCAAATATTCAGTGGATGATTATAGTTGAAAATTTGAAAATTGTATACTCAGTTCATTAGCCAATTGTTTGGCTGAGTTCTTTTGATATTTATCTTTTTCAGTTTTTCATATGTTTTAGATGTAAACTCCTTATCTGATGTAGGATTTTAGAGTTTATTGTAGTTGCCGGGCGGTGGTGGCACTGCCTTTAATCCCAGCACTCAGGAGGCAGAGGCTGGTAGATTTCTGTGAGTTCAAGATCACTCTCGTCTACAGAGCTAGTGCCAGGACAGGCTTCAAAGCTACACAGAGAAACCCTGTCTCGAAAAACAAAACAATACAAAACAAAACAGAAGAATGCTAATCAGAATTTTGATGGAAGTTGTGTTGCGTTTGTATATAACTTGCAGTAATATAACCATTTCCTCTATATGAATTCCGACAATCCCTGAGAACATGAGAGGTCTTTCTGATTCTGGTGTATTGTTCAGTTTCTTTCTTGGGACTCTTGAAGCATTAGAGTCTTTAGTTTCTTTTGGCTGGGTGGTTAGGTTTATTTCTGCATTTTTTTTCCCCTGAGCTTTGTGAATAGGATTTTCCCCTTGATTTAATAACCTTGGCAAGCTCAATATTGGCATATAAAAAAGCTCCTCATTTCCAGGTGTTTATTTTGTATCTTGCTTCACTGATGAAAGTATTTATCAGGTCTAAGTGTTTTCTGGTGGAGTCACTGGGTCTTTTAAGCCTAGGCTCATGTTGTCTGCAAAAAGGCTTTCTTCCCTCTTCTTCATGTCTGCTTCGCTCCTCTATTTTGTCTTTTGCTCTAGCTGAGATTTGAACACTGGAGTAGGACTCGAGAGCAGCACCCTTGTCTTCTTCCTGGTTTTAGAGGCAAAGACATCAGTCTTCTCCCTTTAATGTTGGCTATAGGTTTCTTGTACATAGCCCTCAGTATGTTGAGCTATGTTCCTTCAATTACTAGTTTCTTGGGGGCTATGCTTCATGAAGGGATATGAAACTTCATCAAAGGATTTTCCTACATCTAATAAAATGATAATATTTATGTTCTGTATTATCTTTACTGATTTGGGTGTATTAAACCAACCTTGCATTCCTGGAATGAAACAAATTGGATCAAATGGAATCATCCTGATGTGTATTTATATAATGAGTTCTTAAGCATGTAAAAATGTTTTTTATTATTTCTATTCATGTGTATATATATGACACATGCATGCAAATGCCTGAGGCAAGATAGGGGCATTATTTTCCCCTGGAAGTATAGTTATAGGCAGAACCGCCTGAGCTATTTTTCTGCTTTACGTCCTCAAGAATTTTATTGAGGATTTCTATATGTGTGTTCATCATGGAAATTATAGTTTCCTGATTTGTTCTTGTGTCCTCTCCCGTTTTAGATATCAGAGTAATACTTGTTTCATAGTGCTGTTTTTCTTTACTTTCTAATTATAAAAACAACTGGTTTGAGGATATTCGGCAGTGCCTTTTCTTGACAGACTTCATTAGTTAATCCTTCCATCCCTGAGTTTTCCATCATTAGAGACTTAATTTTTGCATTAATCTTGTTGCTTATTATAGAGCTGTAGAGTTGGTTATATCTTCTTGATTTAATTTTAGTATGTCATATATGCCTAGGAATTTATCCCTTTTTCTAGATTTTCTGGTTCTTTGATATTCAAATGTTCAAAGTATTTCTTAATGATCCTCTGGATTTTACTGGATTCTGTTGTAACATTCAGTTTTTTCATCTCTAATGTCATTAATTTGAGTATTCTCTTGCAATTTTTTTTTTTTTGGTCAACTTGGATATGGATTTGGCAACTTTGTTTATTTTT